TAAACCATGAACCGCGCTCGGCCCATGGCCGCGCGGTTAAAAAAAACCACGGGTAAACCATGAACCGCGCTCGGCCCATGGCCGCGCGGTTAATTATTACCTATTGTCACGGGTTTGCTGTTTAATTACCTTTTGATATCATGGGTGCAAAGTACGCTCACTTTTGTGGTGTGTGTATTTTTTTTTCCCTTTTTAATTTTGAAACGGCTCGCGAATTCCTAGTTCTCCAAGCAATCACAAGAGTTTGAGTATACGTTTTCAAGAACGTATTATTTCTGCTGGATTTATTGACAGAAGACTCTTTACAATGCTACTTTTTTGTAAAAAAGACTCCAAAGCTGAGTCAGCAGTCAAATCTTGTAAAATACGTAGCCATAATTCGTGAATGAACTGGAAACGTATGCAGCTCTTGTGAGATGCAAACGAGAATCCGCTCCAGTCTATCACATGCGTGTGATCGTTATTGATGTTTAGAGCTAGCAATCAATGGCGTTTAGAGGTAGTTAAATCAAGCCTGGAGCGCTTGTTCTTGTCAACCCATCTTCTTCTGTGACCGTCCATTTTGAAATTTAGACGCCATCTTGGAATTTGCGAAGTTTCGCTTGTGATATTATATAAAAACACTGAACTTTTAAGCTGAAATTACGGAGTATTTTGTCACTCATACATATATAAAAAAAGAAAACTTACCCCCAAGCACCAATGACGGTTTTTTATGTTTATTAGAAACAAAAGCAAGTCCACTTTGTCTAACTTTCCCTAAAGTGCGTAAAATATATATCTTAGACAAACAAATGTTCTCATTAGTACGTACAGTGTATACTGTACGGCGAACGAAAGCAAACATCCTAGCGATGAACAAGTTAGATTTCCAAACCAAACTCCACAAGTTGTATGTCCCCTTTACTGCTTGCCTAGTTGTTGCTGTATGAACCGACAGTGTATGTGCGGAAAAGCATGCTCGTGATGTCTTTATAAAACTTGAAGAGTGGAACTGCAATTTACCTTTGAACGCCGTATGGAAGGTAATTCCTTCCCTTCACGCAGAAACGATTCCAGTTTCGTCCAGAAGAAGGAGTCGTAAACGATAATATTCTTGAATTCTTATTAGATCAAACACAAAGTATCCCAATAAAGGAAGTGTGTCATTGAGATACCAAAGTGCATGCATGAAAGTTTTGTTACCTCAGTTTTGCAGGCCTCCTCGAGGAATGCCATAAAGTAGTTAACAACCTAACAAAGGGAAAATAAATCTTTCAAAACTGAATTAACGTAACGAACAAAAGAATGAGCTTCCTAGCTAGAAAACGTGAGCAAAAAGGTACCAATAGTAGAAGTAGATTGCATAAATGAACGAACAAACACGCAAGCAAATGAGAGAACAAACAAAACAAACTGAACGACGAATGGAGTGATAAGTCGTTTTTACCTCATCGTTTAGCCAGCCACTGGTTTGGTCACTGCTTTGCTCACTGCTTGCTGCCATATGTATGGTGTTGAAGCTTTTTCCAGTTATGGGAATGTTGTATCGCCACACTAAAATTTCGTCAGTTTTCTTTGAATCAATGGAGTTCCACAAGGCATTTATCTGGACCAGTAATAATTCTGTTAGTAGATTGTATATTTCGGTAACAGCCATCACGGACACAACAGGAAAAGACAATGGAATATGTATGTCTTAAATAGAGCCGTATTGCTCTTGAGTTATTGCTTTGGCTGAAATAGCCAATAGAAGCAATCGCGATAGGACCTCCTTCCTGTTGGAAAAGAAAAAGAAAAATGAATCTGCACTAGAGATGGCACAGCCATTCATTTTGTGTGATTTACCTCATCTGCGCATTTATCTTTTACTTCTGAATCACCAATGGTACAGGTTGTTTTGCCTGCAAGTCCTGACATGAAAATAATTCATTTGAGCTATACACATCAGAACAAAGCATTACACAGTATGTATTATGTCGCGGTCGTCCAAACACACGCTGATCATTATATGTCATCGAAAAATGACAAATGTCATTGTGTTTTACTATAACAATGGCGTATGCAACTTTCCCCTTTACTGGCCTATGGAAATATGACTTCTGAAGCTAATCAATGTAGCTATATACCTGTCAGCTAGTGAGTTCACCTTTTGATATATGAGATACAAGGAGGATTTATTGCAATGGAATCTGCTGGAATACCTTCCGCTTTGGTGGTTTTATCGGCCTCTGGCTCCAAACTAACGTAGTGATTTTCACTCAGGTGTCCCAACAGGATTGGAGCTCCTTGTTGGTTTTTGGTCTCCACAACAACCTCATAGCAGTCTCCCTCATGGCTTGTAACCACTCGAATTGTTTTTTCGAGGGCATTGGCCAGAGCAACAAGGACAATGTGATCACCCCATGTGCGATCCTTACTCATGTTTGTCAAATAGGTATCCAAGTCATTATTCGGCACGAATGAAGAGATGTCATCATTGGAAATCTGAAAGACAGTGCAACCAGTAATAGAGATTGTTAAAGGATCTGATTTATCACCAGTACAATCCAACAAATATGTTACGGAGTACAAGTATATGACGACTTACACCAGGTACACCATTCCTCAAAGTTTCTACAGACAGCTTCCTCAGGTCAGAGTGATTGAGTCCTTTTTCCCCTAGGCGCTCCAGCTGGTCTGCGATGGCGTGGAATAAACAATTCCCGTCACTGGGTATTTCATTCCTCATATGTAGGCCCGAACTACGAATGTGTTCAGTCAAGCGTCTCTGGTTTTCTTGGACCGCTTTGTTTTCCAGTAGTGACTGTTTTACGGCCTCCCTCATGTCGTGGAGGAAACGCTGGTAAGAACCTTAAACACATATTACGAAGAAAGGTTGCTTCAACCAGGGTGAAATATGTACCTTCAAATAAGCTGCGTTGTCATAAACGGGCACAACACTCCATCTACCTACGTATAGTAATAGAAACACTAAGATCATACCAGCCAAGTGTTTGTTTCCTTGATTTTCTGTCTTTTGGGCAGGCTTCTTAAAAAAAAAGAAACAGACGAGAATCTTTGTTACAATAACAAGCACTGTTTTGTCTTACATTGTATCAGTTACGCTTACTGAAGTTTTTCACGAACAGAAAGACAATCATCACTTCGTATAGCACCTAATTTCTAGTGATATCAATTAAAATTGCGCTATTTAAATTTCGGTTAACTGAGCAGATTTACCTCTTGAGAACTATTGGGCATTGTGGGAAGACTAACATTATCGTTACTGTCTGTTGCGTGTGTATGGGCGTTGCGTGCAGAACTCTGCTGCGAGGACGAATTTTCGTCAGGACTTGATGTAGTAGTGGAGGTGGGTGTTGTTGCCAAGAAACTGTCTCTTGATTGCCGCTCACTTTCGAGGGGGGTTCTCTGTAGAATAAGAATTCCGTGTTCATCTGCCTGGAGGCTTCTGTGTGGCCCTATTTGGGCTCGAAAAACCGTTTCTAGTTTCTTCCTATAGACTTCGTTGATTTTAATGTTGTTCGCATGTAATTTTAGACGCATCATGAACAGATGATTTCCCGGGAGCATCATATTAAATGAATAGTTGGAACGATTTATACTGTTGTGGAGCTGCTCCTCTACCTCAGTGTTGACGACCGCGTTGAGCTCGGGAACCAGGGTGACCAGACGAAGTAAGTCGCTTGGACTCGTAGAATTCCTCTCATGAAAGCGATCGAACAGGGAGTAGCGCTCCGACACACCAGTAACGGGGTGTAATTATTCTTCAAATGACTCGGAACCAAATCGAAATGCTCTTGGGATGAGCGCACCTTGAGCCCAGGGCAAATGGCGGATCAAACTTCCCTCCTTGGCGGAATTGATGTTATCTTCTGTAGGCGGAAACAATCTCCCTTCGTTTGGTCTAAAAAACCTCGAGATCGTGCTATTGGCATGTGCTGCAAGGCGCTGTGGTATGTCAGATATGCTTATGGAAGGAGGATATTTTAATGATCGAAGCATATCCACGTAGTCTCTTGGGCTTTCCCCTCGTACAACGAACTTGATGCAATACACCACCATGTGTGGACATGATGCTGATGCCCATCCTCCTAAATTACGGAATAGTAAAACTTGAATTAGTCACTTTAGTGCAAAAGTACGTTATCGAAGCCTTCGAACGTTAGTAAGATTATAAGTTTTGTCGTTAATAGATCTCAAGATGATGAACATTTTCAAGGACAACAGGAAAATTCTTTTTGTTATTAGCGTTACAAATGTTGCGTTGCTAATGCGGTGGCGTTCTAAAGAATCATCTCTTGCAGGCGTAGTCATCTACATACCTCTTTTGAGCCAGTGGCATGATGGTGCCATGGATAGCGACAGGGTAAAGTTGCTTGTGGTGTTATTTGAACTACATTGGCAGTGCGGAAGTGTAAAAAATGTTGCTGTCTTCAAATCAAGAATGAGTTAGTTGTCATGCCACCTTAGTAATGTTGTGTACTTACCCGATGCGCCCCAAATTTTGGAGAAAATCTTCCGGAAGTTTTCAGGAATTCCCAGTTTCGTTCTCAAGTACGAGATGCATTCAGCCTTTGACATCCGGGAAGAACCAGTGGCGCCGTGATTGCGGCATATAGCTTGCAGTGTTTTCACCTGGTACACACATAAGCGATGGGAAAAAAAAAGTTGCATTGATATTGAATAGTATTTCATAACTTCGTTTCATGAAAGGAGCAACAAGACCGATTAGTAATTTGAGCCTGTGTTATAGGTTTATGAAGTCGTTTACTGAGCATGTTCCTCAAATGAATTCAAAAGATTCTATAGAAGGGGGCCGCCTTTTTGCCAATTACGTAAAAAGCATAACAAGTTCGTCGTTCACGATACCTTCACTTACTTAAGAGCGACGGTCCTTTGAACTAATTATGGAAGTGAACATATTACTTTGCGTTACCTGAGCAAAGTGCATCATTTCCAGTAAGTCCTCTTCCGAAGGAGTCGTCTGGAGAGCAGCTTGTTCGTCCTCAGACTCGTCGTTCGTGTCTGCACCTAAATCTTGAGGAGAAGTACGATGGCACTTCCTGTGTTCAGTGTTATAAGCCATGCCACTTTTTCTACAGTTCGGCCCAATCCAGGGTGCCCAGAAAGAGTAGCTTGGTTTTACCGTGTAAGGGTTCCTACTTTGATCTGAATATAGAGAGGTGTAGGATAAATATTGTCATTAACTCCTGTAACACTTGTCCTTTACTTCATGCAACTTGACTAGAGAATATTTTTAGACGCATAGACAGCAAAGGAAATAGGTTTGTACAGGTACCTCTTATTAGTCCGCGAACCATTATCGAGAGTTCTATCTGTCGCCAGAATGCTTCAATGTCGACCGTGTCGTTCGCGTCTTTTAACGCAGGAATCTCTAGGTCGTCAACTAGGACAGAAATGCACATTAATGGGTAAGTAAAGCTATAGGGGAAGGACTGTACGTGGTCTACTATTGTACTGGCGATGATAACTGGACGTTTGCAATGTGTAACTAACACTAAGCAAAAAATTCTGTACAGTACTACTAAGAATAATGGAATTTAAGCGTACTTACGAGCCATAGAAAAGCATCCTTTCTTGCGTAAGTCCCAGACAAGTATCGGTGGATAATAACCACAACGAGAGCAAAAAAATTCATAGCCATGATCACTGAGGGCCTCAAAATGAAGGTAGCCGTTCCTAAACACGTTGTCACTAACATCGATTTGCAATGTGTTGCGTAAAACCGCTGCAGTTCTTCCAATAACAAAATTTCGGAATGCAAATATGTTGTTTCAAAGGCAACAGGAACATAACTGTTTCTTAACTTTATAGTTTGCTTCAAAACCTCAAGCATACTGAACCTAACAGACAGCTTGTTTTGCCTAATGAAAGGTAATCGTAGAAAAAGTAGTCGGCGCATATAAATGATGATGATGATGACGGTGACGATGAAGATGATGATGACGATGATACTGATGGTGAGAAGAATGAGCATAGCAATAACAGTAGTATCAATAATAACAATAACACAATAATAGTGAGAGAACGTTAAAACACAGGCAACATCCTCACCCTAAGGTGCACAGTTTTGAAATTTCGCTTGGGAAATCCTCGTTTGGCTAGTAACTTACCTTTACATATTCTCTCATAAAAAGCATAAGACTGATGCTGAAAATGTGCCTGTCTCAAAGTTGTGAACACCATCATCAAACTCCTGATACCTGTACATCACCTGGCAGTTATCACACCTCTTGTAGTATGTACAGACATCTGCAATTCACGGCAGGATTTATTTAATCAGTTAATAGATCAGCAACAGATGAAAGGTCTGCATAACTCGAACCTTTAATGGAAGTAAACAAGTTTCAAACTATCGGGATTTTGAATTGTGGAGGATAAACTTTAAACAAGGAAATCAAGATTAACGAAAATAAGGGGTAGGCGCGATTGGAATCACAGAGGCCGCAAGCTATCTGAAGTCAACATGTAGGTGAGTGATACAATATGATATGAATACCTGAGATGCCCTTTATTCAAAGACCACTGTTCCCTTTTATGATAATAAAATACTTCGTCGCGCTTAACCATCCGTTGACTACATGTACCGAATCTATACATTTCGCTTTCGTTATTTTCTGACCACAAAGGGCTTATTTTGTTTAGCACACCCAAAAAATATGCACTTGCCTATTTTTTTACGTTTCAGACATAAAAATTAAATGACATACCAGTTTTGCATGTTGTTATCCCTATAATGATAGCTCTTCCAGTAATTTTGATAGGCTCGCTTAAAGGATTTTTGCAGCAATGGCACTCGATCTCCTTCGGTACCAATACAGACGGAAAGTCGTCGTTATCGTTTCGGTGGATTGCTGTTGGTATTTTTTCAAGATGTCAATTGGTAAATGATAACATCCTCCAGTGCCTTTCCAGTAGGGGGATACAAACACCCTGCTGCAAGTGAGGGTTCTTGACTATCGGCCACTCCATCGCCTGTTTCAATCTCATCCTCGCTTACCTGTGGGCTCTGTCGAAGCAAAGCACCGTCCTGTTGATACAAGAACCATTTTGACACTGCCTTGTGGATGCAGGACACTTTTGCCCTGCTACATGCGCAAGACCACTTTGCCGTTTGTGTGTCATATGACACGACCACACGACCAAATCTTGACCAATAGTGCACCCCACCATCATACACCGAAAGGTAAACCAATCTCCCAGATTTCGTACTGTCTTCATGCTCAAACCGAACAACCAGGGGACTGCCAGCGTCGCAGGCCTTTTGCCGATGCGATAATAGCGCCTTCTTTCGCTTTTCGGTTATCCACTTCAGTCGACCACCAGCAATTTCTTCGAGTGAGTTATCACGAAGTTCAACGGGTATTTTAAAGGGGAGTGCATACTGTGCACTTTGCAGATGGATGCACTCGAAAGCAGGATGACCACTTTGCCTAGCTACTCTGGCAGCGTCCATGCATTCATTAATCTCGCACGAACTTGGGACTGGTATGGCGTCGTGAGGAGTATGAGTCTTATGTGCACAATGAATTGGATGCATAGTTCCCGAAAAAGTGCGGCTTATCATGAAAATTCCCCTTTCGAAATCAACACAAATTCCTTTCAGATATCGGCCTGGACCAACAACAGGATCCAATTTACGTTTGTGTTGATCCCGTAAGTGGCGCTGCAAAGCTTTGGTATTGGGATAACCCTTCGAACACTCGGGACAAATGCATCTAATATTTCCCACTGGTGGCACCATTTTTCCTTGTAGGTTCTGAAACGTAATATTTTCACCTGTGACAGTATCGGACTCCTGTTTCGAGGGAGTGACCTTTTCTTTCAATAAACTGTTAAAATGAACGATTATGGCGGTTTTTCTGTCGAAAATCCGCGAACAGTGACAACAATGCCAGTGGCCACGATTGACAAGAACTTTTCCGGAAGACTTCGCACACCTAAGGATGCACTTTAGCATTGCTTTATCTGCAAGGGAAAAAAAATATATGGCAAAGAATGACCTTTCGGTTTTAAGAAGGTCGCGGCATACAATGAAGAACAGAAAGAAGTCATTATCCAAAGTTTGCCACAGTAACAGGCAAGGAAACTTGGGTGCGTAGCGGGGTGCTAAGAACGTAAACGATGTTTATAGTTGTATTTGTTCCCTACAAGGCGGATAACGTTCGCCGGGAGAAGGAATTTCTTCATTCTCATCATCGCCTATTTATAAGTGCCAATAAGATATTCATTTAATTAAAGAGAGGCCTGATAAGTGGTTGACCTTCTCGACCTTATATAGTGATATTTTCCTGAAGTTTACATGTACATTGCCCTCAAATTTAAAGGGTCAATCGTCAAGTAAATAATATGGAGTTAATATAATATTGATCAACACCGCTACAGTTTATTTAAGCAATTTCACGCGAACTGTTAGACCTGTTCCGCAAGCTATCGTACATGCCAAATACTGTAACGCTTGAAAGTGTGCACTTAAAGAGGACTAGTTAAAATATGCTAAGTATGAGTTGATAGTACTGAAAAAGGTGTCATTTAGTATTGGCGATTTAATGAGTGATGATAACAGAAACGTCGAGATTATTTTCACAGTTCTGTTATTTTTCTAGACTAACCCTAAGTTATACATACAGTTGTCTTCCATAAACCGCGATTTCTAGGAAAGTGCCCAGTCGTACTACTTACTTTCATGGGTAACTTTGTTATCCCAGTGCGTCGTTTGAAAATGTTTCCTCAACTTACATTCCTTGGGTATCGGCTGTCTCTCTGTCCTTGAACAGAGACTGCAATGGTAAAGACTGCCGTTGCAAGGCGAGGCGCACTTGTCGTCCCCACAACGATCGAATGAAGTTGGAAAGTCAGAGTCGGCAGGAATGATGGAAATTTGCCGCGTGCAGTTTGCCTGTTAAGTAAATGATCAGTATGAAAGCGGCATCCTAAAACCGAGAATAAAGGGCTCTAAATAACAAGTGGGTATAATAATGATATCAGTCATGATATAATAAAACTAACTATTAAACAAAGAAAGGAAAACCAGCAATTTAAAGAAGTTAAATATACTAAAATAAACTCACTTCTGTACCATCAGTGACTCCCGATGTTGCCATGACCACTAAGTCTTTAGCTTTTAATACTACCTGGTGAATGCAGATTGACGAGAACCTCGGATCACGGCGTTGTCATTTGAGAAAAGTGCAGGGCTGCTTCTTTCTTATATGGTACCTCAGCGGTAAAGTATGCCATCGGCTCGAATTGCAGGGAAACGAAATGACGAAGATAAGCCGGAACAGATTAAAATGTGCGTCACCGTTTTAAAAAGTGTAGGAACGTCCACCACTTCTGGTTCTAAACATTCAACTTGTAGGTAACGAAGAACTATCTTGCAGCCTGGGTACAAATGACGGAAACAGGCTAACCACTTCCTTTTTAAAAAAACGCTAAAGCTTTTAAGAGTGGAAAACTCCTTCTATTCTTAGTCTCGCCACTTACCTTTGATACCATAAATACATGAAGATCAGCGAAATCAGTTCTCCTTTTAAATGCAGATGTAGTTTCAACACCGCTAATAGACCTTTTGACTTGAATGTCAGTGAAGGTTAAGTCTTACGTGAAAGGGTGTAAGGGTCTAAGGNCCCACAACGATCGAATGAAGTTGGAAAGTCCGAGTCGGCAGGAATGATGGAAATATGCCGCGTGCAGTTTGCCTGTTACGTAAATGATCAGTATGAAAGCGGCATCCTAAAACCGAGAATGAAGGGCTCTAAATAACAAGTGGGAATAATAATGATGTCAGTCATGATATAATAAAAATAACTATTAAACAAAGAAACTGAAAACCAGCAATTTAAAAAAGTTAAATATACTAAAACAAACTCACTTCTGTACCATCAGTGACTCCCGATGTTGCCATGACCACTAAGTCTTTAGTTTTTAATACTACTCGGTGAATGCAGATTGACGAGAACCTCGGATCACGGCGTTGTCATTTGAGAAAAGTGCAGGGCTGCTTCTTTCTTATATGGTACCTCAGCGGTAAAGTATGCCATCGGCTCGAATTGCAGGGAAACGAAATGACGAAGATAAGCCGGAACAGATTAAAATGTGCGTCACCGTTTTAAAAAGTGTAGGAACGTCCACCACTTCTGGTTCTAAACATTCAACTTGTAGGTAACGAAGAACTATCTTGCAGCCTGGGTACAAATGACGGAAACAGGCTAACCACTTCCTTTTTAAAAAAACGCTAAAGCTTTTAAGAGTGGAAAACTCCTTCTATTCTTAGTCTCGCCACTTACCTTTGATACCATAAATACATGAAGATCAGCGAAATCAGTTCTCCTTTTAAATGCAGATGTAGTTTCAACACCGCTAATAGACCTTTTGACTTGAATGTCAGTGAAGGTTAAGTCTTACGTGAAAGGGTGTAAGGGTCTAAGG